ATTTTTTGCCCATTTTTTGTCCATTTTCCCCCTTTTTTTGCCCATTTTTCCCCATTTTCACGCCATCTTTAAGCCATTTTTGCTCATTTTTCCCCGTTTTCCCCCCATTTTCCCCGCTCCCCCTCCCGGCCGCAGGGCGAGCGGATCCTGGCGGAGCTGCAGCGGCTGCCGGCCCGCGGCGTGGCCGTGCGCGTGGCGGTCAGCGCGCCCTCGCCGGCAGCGCCGCTGGACGATCTGCGGGCGCTGGAGCGCAGCGGTGAGCGGGGCCGGGCTCCCTCCCCAAATCTGGGGGGTCTCGGGGTGGTCTCGGGGGGATTGCGGTGGGAAACGCCCGATGCCGGCGCCGCAGGTGCGGCCGTGCGCGCCGTGGACCTGCCGCGCCTCACCGGCGGCGTGCTGCACACCAAGTTCTGGCTGGTGGACGGCGTCCATCTCTACATCGGCAGCGCCAACATGGACTGGAGGGCCTTGACGCAGGTGGGTCGTGCCGGGGTGGGGACCGAGCCGGCGCGGTCGGTGCCGGACCCAGTGCGTGGTGCCGAACCCAATGGATGACCCCAAACCCAATGGGATTGGTGCGGAACCCAATGGACGGTGCCAAACCCAATGGGATTGGTGCCAAACCCAATGGGATTGGCCCCAAACCCAATGGATGACCCCGAACCCAATGGGATTGGTGCCAAACCCAACATGGATGGCCCCAAACCCATTGGATGGCCCCAAACCCAACAGGGACGGTGCCAAACCCAATGGGATTGGTGCCAAACCCAATGGGATTGGTGCAAAACCCAATGGGATTGATGCCAAACCCATTGGATGGCCCCAAACCCAACAGGGACGGTGCCAAACCCAATGGGATTGGTGCAAAACTCAACATGGATGGCCCCAAACCCAATGGAGAATGCTGAACCCAACGTGGATGGTGCCAAACCCAATGAGCTTGACCCAAACCCAATTGGACGATGCCAAACCCAATGAGCTTGACCCAAACCCAACACGAACGGTCCCAAACCCAATGAGCTTGACCCAAACTCAATTGGACGATGCCAAACCCAATGAGCTTGACCCAAACCCAATTGGATGATGCCAAACCCAATGACCTTGACCCAAACCCAATTGGATGATGCCAAACCCAATGAGCTTGACCCAAACCCAATTGGACGATGCCAAACCCAATGACCTTGACCCAAACCCAACACAACCCACCGGTTGGCACTCAACCCAACGCGATGGGCACCAACCCAACCCCGGCACCGGGGCTGCCCCAACCCTCGCCAACCGGGGAGGGACAACGGCGCCGTCCCACGAGCCGCCGGCGACGCTCGCCGCAGGTGAAGGAGCTGGGAGCCGCCATCTACAACTGCAGCTGCTTGGCCAAAGATTTGGGCAAAATCTTCGAGGCCTACTGGTCCTTGGGCGTCCCCGACGCGTCCATCCCGGCGCCGTGGCCGGACAATTTCTCCACCTCCATCAACCTGCAGACGCCGCTGGAGACGACGCTCAACGACACCGCGGCCGCCGTCTACTTCTCAGTAGGGGTCACCGCGGGTCTCTGGGGGTCACCGGGGGTCTCTGGGGGTCTCTAGGAGTCACCGGGGGTCTCTGGGGGTCACCGGGGGTCTCCGGGGGCCTATGGGGTTCACTGGGGGTCTCTGAGGGGTCTCCAGAGGACTCCGGGGGTCTCCGGGGGCTCTGGGGGTCACCGGGATTCTCCAGGGGATTCTGGGGGTCTCTGGGGGTCACCGGGGGTCTCTGGGAGTCTCCAGGGCACTCCGGGGGTCTCTGGGGGTCTCTGAGGTCTCTGGGAGTCTCCGGGGGTCTCTGGGAGTCTCCAGGGGACTCTGGGAGCCTCGGGGGTCACCGGGGGTCTCTGGGGCCTCTAGGGGTCTCCAGGGGATTCCAGGGTTTCTGGGGGTCACCGGGGGTCTCTGGGGTTCACTGGGGGTCTCCGGGGGCCTCTGGGGGTCACCAGGGGTCTCCGGGGGCCTCTGGGGGTCACCAGGGGTCTCCGGGGTTCACTGGGGGTCTCTAGGAGTCCCCAGGGGACTCCGGGGGTCTCTGGGGGGTCTCAGGGTTCTCTGGGGGTCTCGGGGGTCTCTGGGCATCACTGG